CAGAACTAACAAGTAGCAAAATACGTTAAAATTTAATAGGAAAGCAAACAAATCGTAGTAACGAGTGTACGTTGTTTCCAAATACCTCACATCGTTTACTACTAGGATACATTATTAGTTAAGAAATATTCATAATGATCTAGCTCGTTGATTGAAGTTTATCTGAAAATGAGACGACTACTTGACTGGTTAGAAACACATCATAAGTAGTCCGGATCACCTTACTGGCGGTTTGAAAACTCCCGAACCTTGATATTTTAGTGACATGTTGATATACACGGTTTATCCACAAGATGACAAAAATGTGGCATTTATATGAAGTAGACTTCTAAATGATTCTTTCGAGAAACTTTATGTCCATTTTTTATTTGCTGTGCTGTAAAAATTCAGATGAGCTGCAATAAATTAGTAGCTGAAAAATTATAAACAAAGTTATGCTCAGAGTTTAAGCTCGTTCCTTTGGATATTCCACTTTTAAAAATTGGGTTATGGATACAAACTGTCCCCCATCTACTAAGGTTCAGACAGTTCGATAATATTATTAACCCACACATTAGGTGTGTCTCCTTACCGTCTGCAAATAGATACAAGCTGTTCTTCAGTGACATTTACCTGGAAGTACACTTATGAGAGGTAGAAAAACCTGGTTTCAAATCTTTGTTGCACGGGCTTCAGAGTTTAAAAGAAAAAGTGGCGTACAAACTTGATTTGGTCATCTGAAACTGTGGGAGAGCAGTTCCTGCTGCTACATGGACTAGACCTCACGTGAAAGGTTGTCGGTATTGTCTCTTGTGTTAAGTATGTGGTTCGGCCTGGATGTCTGGACACTTTCAGCCCTAGAAAAATCAAGAAATTCCGGGCACATGTACATTATCACAGATTACTTCATATCCTCAGCAATTGGATCCTTTATAGTCACTTTTTTATTTTTCATTGTTCACTTTTGAGTGTCTTTGTATCCTTACTTTCGCAAAATATTCTCTATTGTTGGGAATCTTTGTTTATCTACCGCTTAGACCCGTTAGTTGCCTTAAGTAGGCCTCAGATGTGACATTTAACACACGAAAGGTTGCCACGCATATTAATGCAAGCTGGCCGATAAGCAAGTCTAGCCAAAAACTTGGAAAGCATCGAAATGAGTGTATAGTGTATCACAGAGACTTGCACGTAAAACCTCAATGGAACTGCTTTGGATATTTCCATCTGTATCTTTGAACAGAGTGTGCTACGTACGAAACCGGAAGTGAAAGATATGGGGATGCTAGCTGTCTTTGACCACACATACTCCCCCGATCTCCTGTGTTGAAGGGTGTCATAGGATGAGTAATATTGAGGTTAGGCGCAGAATCTTAGGTAAGAAAGGGAATTCAACAGATGAGATTGTGAAGGTGAGTCAGTTGAGACGACTAGGATATGTGTTACACACGCTGAGCCACCACTTTCCTCATTGAGTTGTGTTAGGTAACATAGAGTTAGGTTGAGAAAGGGTTATAGGTGGTCAGACCATGAAATTTTGACAGTTGGTTTGGGCCATATATGAAGATGCAGGCTGCCTGGTTAAAGTCTTCAGGATGCTAAGGACTAATGGCTTGAGATTGTAAGTGATATGACTCAAAACTGTTCTCCATGGCATGAAGCGCGGCTACCTGAGCCTCAGCAGCTCTGTGTGAAGTTTTTACGTTAAAACTCAGTCAGTTAACCACTTGCTCTTATCCGAAGACCTTATGGTTTCGGGATCCGGCTTAGTGTCGATGTCGCACGTATCTCTAGGACCTAAGCTTCATTAATTGACTTGGTCTCTCCAACAGTCGTTTATATGCTGTGAGACTAGATTATGCTGGAGTAATAAGCTACCGGTCAGAGAAATGTTGCGTTTTCGTCTTCTCTGCCTGTGCACCGACGAATTGCAGCCTTGATCCAATAGAGAATGAGTCATATCAGTGATTGAGTGAGTTCATGAAGCATGTGCATCCACCATATATTGTAGAGCTGTCAGGAGACTTGAATGCATAGGTAAGACGCTCACTTTCATAGGAGAGTCATTCAGATGGTCAGGGGGTTATGTCTTCCTCAGTTCTACGAAGATTACAACATATTTTTAACCAGCATGAACTTCTGCCACATTCATCGCCTTAGTGATACCTCAAATCCTCTCTCTGCTACTAAGTCATTGACTCAAATGGACTGTATTACTATTGGCCACTGATTGCGTGGCTGCATACAGGACTGCCTCTTCTTCTTTAGCATTTGTCTGAAATCAAACCATGGTTTGCTGTGTTCACGATTTACTCTGAAATTTGGTGGCGACCACAAATATCGTCCTCAACAAGTTGATGTAAGTAAACTGATACCACCTGCTACCTCTGTCAAGTATCAAACAGAACTAGAGTTACAGACAGCTACTAGCCTCTCAGATACCTAAAAAGACCATATGAAAATAAAAAGTAAAGTCGCTTATGGCCTAACACAACTTTCTGCTAAATTCCACTGCGTGTTCCTTGCAGCTTTTAGCCGCTCTTAGATCCATTCCAGCAGATAGCGTTTATAACAACCTGCGTTAGGCTCGTATGCATTAGGTCAAACACTGCTTGTATAATTACTAAGAAGCCCGGTAGCAAGAACATGCATGTGAGATGAAGTGAATAGTTGCTGAGGACAATAGTCAAAAGCTGCTCCAGCTCATCCTAGCCACGGGCAGCAAGAAGCATGTCGGCGAGATTATTTGTGAGGCAAAGAGTATTTCCATTAAAAACCTAGAAAAACTCCTGGGACTGAGGGCAGTGAACATAGTGAAAAACAGACTAGCTATCCTCCAGCGCCGGTATCAGACGTCAATAATCACAATGCTCCAAGGTCGGTTAATACTAATAAACCGAAAGTAGTAGAGATTGTAAAGGAACTCTAAATTTTTAAGCACCATGAGGCATTCGGGTTACTTAGCATGTAAATCCTGTATGAAGGGGAAATCTTTTAGGACCAAATACTCGGAAAATTTCTGTACTACACGTTCGCATATTGTCCGAACTAAAGCTTTGTTATTGTTATTAAATTGCTTTGAAAATATCTATGCTATACACCTAATTACATGAATTAAATGAAACTGGAAGGGTCGCAGAATTGCAGAAATTGACAAACGTACTGCAGAATGGTATGTTGACTAAGTCATATGCTAATTTTCGTTTTATGCTTAAGTTGGTGCGCCAAAAATTCAGCAAGTTGCCTTGTTTTGTCGTCATTAATGATTCTGTATTTATTAATGTCAAATACAACAGCAAACAAAGCCAGGAAGTGTAAAAAAAGACTAAGTCAAGTATCCACTCACCTCTGCAATATATAAATAAACCGATGTAATATCATTCAGAATAAGTGATTATACTCTGAATGTCAGTTTATCATAATAGCATAGTGACCAAGAAAGTTCTATATCTTGGCCATCAATCACTTTTTCACGGAATAATTGCTATCAAGAAATGTTTGGTAGTTTTCAGATGCTTCTTGCATCACGATTTCATCTTTGTTAGGTGTACTTTTATGGTGCACATTTGGGACATCCAGTGTTTCTGGAGTACTACAACACTCACATTTCGTATTAGCTCCCCAAACTATATTCACTTAAACTTCTGTATTTTCGATTAGATTAGATGTTGATACACACCAGTGCATTTCACCACCTTCATCAGTTATGTTAAAAAGTTGCTGAACAACCATTTGCAACCCTGTGCAGGTGGCAATGAACCACGCATGTTGCATCAGAGCTATTGATACTACCTGTCTGCCCAAACCTGGGTAGACAGAGTGATGTTCAAACCCGTAACCCACTAGTTGGAATTTGGGCGCCTAGACCTACGTGCTACAGCTCCTGGTAATCATGTATTTAGTTCTCAATGAATTCATTAGGGGTAACGTCTAGAGATTCCCGTAGTGTCCACTCGAATTAATGTCTTATTAACGTCAGTTACATTTAATAGTGAATTGACTACAATTTCATACCTGCTTCTAAACTACAAGATGCAGTGATGTAAACATACATTCCTCAAGCTCATCCAATATCTAAACGATGATGATGCATACTAAGTGGTTCACAGAGAAAAGCCCACCGAAGTAAAACAAAGTTGGCTACTATCAACGATGGTTTTCATATTGGTGGTGGACTGGATCATGCCGTAGACCTCTTAGGATTTGGAAAGAGTGCATACATTCGACTTACAAAAAGGCCTTAGAACACCTGGATTTCACGGATGATCTATGGCTTGTGTTGCACAAACATCAAGATTACCAAGCATAGTCAAGACTTCAAATGAACGTGGAGAGCACAGGGGTGACGAAAATAATCGACTAGCAACCAATCACCATCAGTGGGAGAAATCTAAAGAAAGTTTTCATCTTCAGATAAATCATTTCAAATACAGGCAACAGAGACAAAAGTCTCAAAGCCGTCCAGGATTGGTTAAATCAAGGTGGACGTTTGTTTCTTTGAAATTAGTGTGGATGTCTACAGCACCCAATAAAGGCAACAAGATCGGAGTTGCCAACACTAATGTAAAGTCATTGCTTGCATTGGTTACAGAGACTTGAAGAATGCGTCACGAAAAGCATTTCTAAGATTTTACAGACTTGCGTTAACACCCACTCCCTTCGCTCAACACTTAAGATAGGATGACCGGGCGGAAAGGATAAGCAACAAAAAAACTGGCAGTGAATCAGGTAAGAACATATTACTCAAAAAACAGGCAGAAGGAAATCGAAATGGAATTGATCATGCGCTTAGGGCGCATTGGAGTGGGGCCTTAATGGGAGACAACAGATCGGTCGCCCAATTATGCCACGGGGAAGATCATATTCGGAGGAAATGAAATGTTGTGTGCCGTCATGGAGCTAGTTGAAAACGATGGCAACGAATGGAGTACAGTGAAGATTAACACTGACGCCCTAAGTTTCACTTGGGACGTAATGAATGAATAAATAAAATTACATAATGATTATTTTGTATTTCTCTCTAGGTGCTGACCCGACTTTAGTAAATGAACGTGGTCATCGTCCTTTCATGTATGCGAAAGATCCTTCAATCAAACAGTTGTTAAGTCAAGCAGAATCAAAGGTAAGGAGTGTTTTGTTTTACCAGGTTATCATATTTCACCATTCAAAAATAATTATATCTGAATGCAAATATATATATATATATATCCATGTGTACTAAGTATGTGTTTGTCTATTCCATTTTTTAACCAGTCGATTAAGGGTGCAGACCACTTCTGCTGAACCTTGATTCCAAGAGTGGATAACTTTAGCAGTACTGTGCGGCATTATTCTTCCTCTCACTGTTTTTTACCCTCCTGGTGTGTTCGTCAAGTAGTTCGACCTGTTAGGAACGATAAATAGGTCAGGTCCATACTTATTTTTTAAAATTCTATATATCATAACTGCATCCTCTCTCTATACATGGCAAGATAAAATGAAGAGATTTAGTCTGTTTAGTTGTTCCTCATGTGGTAAATAGGCATTACAAGAGATCGTATGTGTCCTCAAACCCTCCCCTGCGAATTTTGGGCTACCGATATCCACGCTGAAAATTCCATACTTGTACCAAAAATACGGTGTGGAATCAAGCTGTAATCAAAAATAAAAAAAAATATTATGGTGAAGGAAATCTATTTGAATCTAGCTTTCTAATGTGGACTTCACTAGAAGTGTATGTAAATTAGAAATAATCACTGGTGATTCTCATTAAAGTTCCACGTATCACCCCTAAGATCCTAAAGCCGCGATGTGCAGCTAAATGACAGCATTCCTCAGTTTTTAAGTCTTGATTTAACATGACAACTAGGTCAATGTACGCCTGAACTGATGCGTAGTTTATGTAGACACTTGAACTTACACATGTCAGCGCTTATCATCCAGCTTTTTGATCAGCCTAACATATTAAGGTCTGTTTGAAGTGCATGCACACCTTTGACCTTTTTAAGCTCTTTCCATATTTTAGATCATTGGCATAAAAATGCTTGAGACATTTAATGTATTCAGTTAATTTTCTGGCACATCGTAAAAATAAGACATTATATTGTACCTGATGACATTTCGTTTTGTACCACCCTGTAGGAACAGAGTTTGGAATGGGTCCTTACTCTCTATCTCCTACCGACAAGGAGGGTGAGTAAACTATCAAAGGATGTGATATTTCATCGTTTAGTTTGCCAGTGTGTGCAGACTATCTCAACAGTCTTTTCGTTAGTTGTTGAGATTTTTTCCGCTAAAAATACTGATGTGCAGTAGATGACAAAATAATGTTTCCCAGATAAACCATTACAGCTTTCTTAATTATTCCTTCCATTATTTTAACTAAGTTGCTGGAGATATTGATAACCTTGTAACTCGGGGGGTATAGCATCGATTTTTCCATGTAGATAGAGGTGATAGTTACGTCCCTCCATTCAAACGGTAACATTTTTTGTTTAATAATATCATGAAGACCAGGTACATGCATTACTAGCTTCTCGAATAGCCTTGGACAAAGCTTATCTGGTTCAATTTATCTGCTTTCATCAAGTTGCTTAATGTTCATGTGCGAGAATAGTCTCACTAGATGCTTCATTGTAGGCAAATTTCGAATTTTACTGGAGATTGGCAAATTATGGTCCACTTGTTTGCCTTTATTGCATAGTGTCCTTGTCTGTAGACTTCTAAGGGTGAGGACACCTTTGTCTTTGATTGAATAGACTATTGATCCCTCGGTTTGTTAGTGAAAGAAATTATTTGCAACTTCTATATGGTCTTTTAGGTCTATTGTTCACTCTTCTAATAAAGCCGTACACGCAATGATGTTTATATCAGATCCTCACATATTTCAAGTGTTGGTCTGTAGTCTCAGGATACCTAGGCAACAATGGACTGAGAAATAATCAGCATCGTCACTTTTTCAATAAGGTGGAAGTTGTCGCAAGAAGTTCACGTCCAGAGTTTAGACGAAATGCTGAAAATCATATTGCATAGTTTTGTTGACATACTGTGTCCAGATTAGTGGTTTAAAAGATTTCAACGGTTCATAGTAAAAAAGTGTTGTCTGATAATGGCGTCACTAACCTTTCTCAAGATGATGAGATATGAAAGCCACCGATTATTTGGTATTCACTTCTCAATATCCACATGGTTTATTTGTAAGAATGTCACGTACTATGCAGTCAGGACTACTATATAATCTACTGACATCAGTGTCTTGTTCCTGGTATTTCTCTCTGCAAGGTTTTTTGAGCTCAGTTATCCGGAACAAGCTTTTCATGCACTAGGCTGTGAGTCACACTTATTGTTGCAGGGTTGATGATAATACACAGTTGCTCAGGTTAATGCAGGTGGAATGACATTCAAATCTCGCTACCCACTGGCTGAAAACCAAGTGTTTGAGGCAATGAGCCGTGTCAGTTTTCTAGTTACGATTCTACATGACACAATATCGTAAGCGATTATCTCTATGCTTCGTATAAATTAGGTGTTATTCAGGTACATTATGACTTCGCCAACTCTGCATTAACATATCTGCCATATGTGTAGTGATGGTTTAAAGTTGCGTTCCACCGTCGATAATAATAAGGTGTGTTTTACCTTTGTAAGATGGCAATAACATTAGAGTTTTTAATATTAGCCTAATTATCCGGCTCAGTGGACCACGCGTAATATACACAACATATCATAAGTTCTCACTTCCTCACTAGACTCTTCTACTTGGTGGGAAATGTTAGATCTGCGTGTGTTTTTAATCCCAAGTGTCTTGTCTCCTACTTGTAGCCGAGACATTGTGTGACAGTCTTTCTATGCCTCTTTACAGTGACTACATCTCATCATTCGCTCGTGCTTCTTTCTTCATTTTATTTTCGCACTGTATGTTTCTTGTCTCATTAAATCATCAGTTAACGTGTATACATTGACATCAGTTTTTCTAGATTCCAAAATGCGACAGTGACTAGTGCTGGGCGTATTTCTCCCCGAGAGACATAATCGTATCTTCGCTGACTTTGATATTATTTAAAATTTCTATGAAGGATTCATTTAAGATAGTTGTTGAAATTGTTGTAGCAACAAAAGAAATGTTTCCAATGACATGTTGTTAAACTTTCGAGGCATACGTAACAATCAAGAGATTCTAAAGAAAACTATTGATATAAGTATAAGAAAACTGTCTGATACAATAACATTAATCAAGTAGAGAATAAAGCGAAATTAGGTTGAATGGTGTGACCAAGTTGACTTAATTGAGTAGAGTTCAATTAAAATTGAAAGATGGTCAAAATCAGTGTCATAAGGGGTATTGGTCTAATGTTCGGAAAGGATACTGACTGACTGGTTTCATCGTAAAACTTTGCACAGATGTGCAACAGTTCTAGTCGCCACACTTCATCTAGTACACAGAACAAGAGAAGAAAGTAAAATGAAACGCAAAACAGAGACAGTAAAGAGATGTGAGGCAAAAAGATTGGTAATATCAAAGAACCATATAGTTTCATTGGAAATCATAAGTCACAAGGAGTGGATGCATCTGCGCCATTGGAAACGATTTTGAGCCATATCACCAATTGTTTCCAACCATTGGTTTTTACCCTCGCGAGGAACCCAACCAGGAAGTCTGTACCTCCCTACGTGGCTTAAACTACCTGTCAGGGATTCCATTGACTGATGATACCATGTTTTGATTTAACCACCACCAGCTCTTTCCAAGCCTGATTCATCTCACGTCAGCGAACACCACCTGTCGTCGAGAAGTCGATGGCTAGACATGCGTAACACATGTCCCAACCATCTTAATTGGTGTAACTTCACAACCTTGTCTACAGATTTCCCCTCCCTACCTAGCACTTGACGCCTAACCTCAATATTGCTCACTTTATTATACTACTTCACACGGGAAATAGAGCTCAGGCACCTATGATCAAAGACAGCTAGTCTTTTCATGCCTCCCCTCTCAATGGCCAGGTCTCACAGCCATAAATGAGAACGGAGCGGACTGATGAGCAGTACACACGCTGTTTCGTCGATAGTCGAACATCTCGTCTACGCCAGAGTCGGCGTAAACTGGCATATGCGAAACGAGCCCACTGTATTCGTGCTGAGATCTCGTCAGAGATCAACCCGTTGGCACTGGCTGATGGTACTTCCAAATAAGTGAAGCGGTCAACGTGCTCTACCATTTCACTTCCTATTTCTAATCTAGGAGTCGGTGTAGTCCAGTCCTGTAACATCATCTTGCATTTGGCGGGAGCGAATCGCATGCGAAACATTCGTAGATTGCGGCTCAAGGTGTTTAGAAGACTGCATTTTGTCAGCGTCCTCGCCTAGAAGGACTATATCGTCTGCATATTCTAAGTCAACGAGATTATTCCCTGGTAGCAAGTCAATCCCTGAGTCGCTGAAGTCACTTAGGGTTAAGTCCATTAGTACATCTATGATGAAGTTGAACAGAAATGGGGATAATGGGCATCCTTGACGGACACCACTAGTTGTTACCACTGCTTGAGTTCGAGTAGAGTGCTTTAATCAGCGCAATGTATTTTCTCGGCATTCCCCTTGTAACAACAGAAGACAAGGGCCAGGCAACAGATCGTTTTATTACGAAAAGCAACACGTATTTATGTAAATTTCACATACATTATTATAGCCTAGTCAAGTAGACAAACGCAGTCTTCTGATTGGTTGTTTTCGAGTTCCTCGGAAAGTGGAACCATCTATCTGCGAATCATATTTGCCCACATTTAAGTTTGCTGTGATTGGTTGTTGAAACAGCCTTGTTCATATTTGCTCACGGCCCATATTAGTGACCTAGACATTGACGTAGATTAATGCCAACCAATTGGCTAGCAGGCTGCTCTCACCACACCCTTACAGCCAAGCATCGCCAGAGTACCTCTCGGTCGACAGAACCGATTTCCGCCTATAGGTCAAGAAATATATCGATTGTTGGACACCGACAGTAAGTATACCTATGTTCCAGAATCTGTCGAAGGGTGAAGATATAATCAATACACCCTCTTCCTGGTCCAAAGCCTGCTAGGTTCTCTCGTATTTGTTCCTCCTGTGGACCGCTTAGTCTACGCACTATTATTACCCCCTCTGATT